TTTTCACTGTGGTGGTATGATTTTATATTCTCACCAACACTACACAATTTTTTTCACATCCTCAGCAACATTAAATTTTTTTGAGTGTGTGCTAGTACTAAGGCTGAAATGCATAGCCTAGGTGTTGTCTCTGAATTTTATTGCTCAAGGCTGGCACTCTACCATTTGAACCATACTATAGCTCTAGTTTTGGCTTCTGGTGTTAGTAGGAGATAATAGTCTCATAGCCTTTCTTGCCTGGGCTGACTGCCTGGGAAGTCCTCAGATCTCAGCCTCCTGAGTAGATATGATTACAGGTATGAGCCACTGGCATCCAGCTTGCATTAATTTTTTATGTGTGTCCTGGTACTGGGGCTTGAACTCAGGGCCTCTTGCCATTGCTTGGATTTTTTTGCTCAAGACTGGTGCTCTACAACTTGAGCCATACCTCTACTTCTGTTTTTTGCTGGAGATAGGAAACTCACAGACTTTTCTCCTTGGGTTGGCTTCAAATTGCAATCTTCAGATTTCAGCCTCCTGAGTTGCTAGGATTACAGGCATAAACCACTGGCACACACCAATATTATTATTACTATGGTAGCTGTCGTAATGGGTATAAGCTAGTATTCCTATATAACTTTGATTTATATTTCCCCAATGATAATTGCATAGATCTGTAAAAGCTCTTGCATTAATTTTGTTTGTTTCATTGTTTTATTTTGTGGTGCTGGGGATCAAATCCTAGCTCTCATGCTCATAAGCACATGGTCTACCACTGGCTGTAGCCCCAGGCTTCTCCCAGTTTGTTAATTTGTAAATTCATGGGAATGTTTTCAGGGTATCAGGAAGAACAGTTTAGAATCAACAGGTGCTAGAATCAACTCCAAATGGATTCAAAGACCTCAAAGTCAAAGCAGACACCCTGAAAATATTACAGGAAGGAATAGGAGAAATTCTAGAGCTCCTTGGCACAGGTTGAAAATTTCTTAATAAAGACCCAGAAACACAACAAATCAAAGAAAGGTTGGACAAATGGGATTGAATGAAACTGCAGAGTTTCTGCATGGCAAAGGACATAGCTAGCAAGATCAATAGAAAGCCCACAGATTGGGAGAAGATTTTCACTATTCATAAATTGGACAAGGGTCTCATATCTAAAATATACTTAGAACTAAAAAACTAAATCCCCCAACAACAACTGAAGAGGAAATAAGAATGGCCAATAGACACATGAAGAAATGCTCAATTTCTCTAGACATTAAAGAAATGCAAATCAAAACAGCATTGAGAGTTAGAATGGCTATAATCAAGAACTCTAATAACAGATGCTGGCAGGGATTAGCCAAAAGGGAACCCTACTGTCTTGTTGGCAGGAGTATAAACTTGTTCAACCACTTTGGAAA